ATCAAGCTAGTTGTATAAATTATTGATTTAAAATATGATTGTAATTGTGTGAAAATTTCTATTGATTTTTCTAAAGTCCTGCTAATAACAATAATATAAATTTGGTTTGTAATTTTTACAACTTTTTGTTGTTTAAATGTTAAAGCTTAATTTTGGTTAAATTTTTTTTTTTTTTGAGAAATACCACTTTCGAAATATAATTTTTCAAAAATGTCATATTTTAAAAATATTTTAAAAAATGTCACTAATTATACCATTTACTTAAAATATTATTTATATTTGAGTTAACTATTTTATGTTAGGATTTAGGCTTTAGGGATTAGATTTTGTTAGAGGCTAAAACTTTTTTAAGGTTTAAGAATTTAGTGTTTAGAGTTTAAAAAAACTTTTAATAAATGATATTTTTGAAGTTACTCCATAATTTAAAAGAATTTTGTGTGTAATAAACAGTTTAAAAAAAATATGAAAAGTAGGCAATAGCAAATTAGAGAAATTGACATTCTTTACTCTTACACTTACGATGAGTGTTGAACACGTTAGAATACGAGAGATGTGTACAGTAACATGTAAGATGCAATGTATAAAGTGGTCATGGTCATCATGTATAGTTGTATTGTACACCGTCCAACCACATTCATTGTGTACATTGTCCGACCATCGATACACACACTATGTACACCATCCGGCCACTGTCGGCGTGTACACAACCATGCACACCGTTTGACGATCATGTACACCGTTTGACCATCGTCATCGTGTATACAGTTGGCCCACCAATACACCACCATATACATCGTCCGGCCACCGTCTGCGTGTAAACTGTTCAGCCACTGGTACACCATCATGTACATCGTCGAGCCACAATCATCGTGTACATTGTACGGCCACAATTAGCTTGTACACCATCATGTACACTGTCTAACTAGTGTCTAATCACCGGTATACCACCATATATACCGCCTGGCCACTGTCATAGTGTACACTGTCCAACCACCGGTACAACACTATGTACAGTTCGGCCACATACATCGCGTACATTATCCAAATATCGGTACACCACCATCGACCTAATCTCCGACCATCGTTATCTTGTACGCTGTCCAATTAACGATACAACATAATGTACACCGTCCACTCACCGTCATCGTTTACACTCTTGAACCACATGTACACCATCATGTACGTTATTATTTAAGATGAATATGAGTGTGGTAGTTTGCCTCATGAGAAAGTTCTACGTGAATATGATCATTTCCATTTTGATCATATGCATGATATTCATTAAATGACGTAAAACTATGAAATGCATTATTTACCATCGCAACATAAACATTTCCCCCATCATAATTTATTGGTTGCTTGTCACTACTAAAATCTACACCATCCTACCCCAACAACATCAT